TTACACACTAACAAACACACTCACAGTCAGAGCTGTCAGTGAGCCAAACCGTATGCAGTAATCCCTTTGTATTCACAAACCCATCCAGATATACAATGTGTCCCAGCCACGTCCCACCCCCTACACACCAGACCTAGGCCACCTGCTAACTCTATATCATCCACACAAACACAAACCAAAGGATGAAGACCAACAAGTTTGTGTCAGTGTGTGATTTACTGTAACATATCTCTTGTTATGCAAGATACTGGTAAGCATGTGCAAATACTCTCCTTCCAATCTGTTCTTCTTCTCTACACTCCACTCATATGTTCTCCAAATCCTCCACAAATCCCCCTCACACAAGCTGAGATAAGTGATACTCTTCTGTTGTCGCTTGGAGGAGACAATGCTCAACAACTGTGTTCAACATAATTAATCTCAGAGGACCTTCATCACACAAACAAAAGATGAAGTGAGCAGAGCAGTGGTGTAGTCGGGGCCATACGCAAGTATACGCCGTACGCTTACTTTTTTCCCCGGGATGTTTGCGTATTACGACTTCTAAGGTTCAATATTCGCATATACCCTCGGTATACCCACTTGTTTTGTTGCTTCGCAAATCCGTAATCTACTGTCATGTAGCTTCCCCTTTAATGGTGTCCCATACTGCTGTGTGAAATTCGTGATTCTTTGTAATTGGTGCAATATCACTTCTGTCATTCAACGCCGCTCATTGTCGCTCGCGCTTGGTGTTTTGAGCCGCACTGAGCGCAGTTCTCGTGCTGCAACAGTGGATACTATGAAGGTAGAATGACGTCAAAAAGATTTGTATACGCAGGGTAAGAGTTGTGGAAGTGTACATAAGACTGTAAGCGTAAATTAAATTTGCATGCGCAAGAGAAGCTTTGTAAAGGTGTAAATCGTGTTTCAAGCGCAAGAAAAAAACACATGCCCCTCAAAAGGTCTGTGCACGGCCCTGACCCCATGTAATGTGATGCAGAAACACTGAAATCATTAAAATAATACCGTTAGCCACATGATCTCATTACAAAAAAAGATCGTTGCCCTTACCTGTTTGAAGGTGTACGTGCATCAGGTGAACTGGACGAACTGAGCCTCGCTGGTGACGTCACTGTCGCTGAAGATGACGCGTGGTATTTGGACGCATCTGCTCTCCACCGAAGTTAATGTGAAGGATTGGCGTATCATATGCACGCAAAATTGGCATTTGGCGTATGCATTACACGCAATTAGAAAGTGTAGGTAATATTACTGGGTAATAGTAAACCATTTTTTCTTTAGGACTACACCACTGGAGCAGAGGGCTATGTTTGTGAAATGTCTGTTTGTTTACTCTCTTCTGCTCTTTTCTATCTTTAACCTCCATTTTTTATTCAAACCTCTGCTTTCTCTTGAGTGAAAACACCCACAGAGATGCAAGTGCAATTGGAGCACAGAAACTGAGGAGTAGGAGTGATTTTATGGAATTGTGATGACAGGAATCCTTCAGTTTTAGATATACATTGCTCTTCATGTTTTCCAGCAGGAAGCTCTAAAATTGTACTACATGCTTTGCTTTTATTGCATTGCTTGCTGCTTTTTTCCAATATAAGATCTCTCAAACTAACTTTCAGTTGGGTTATGCTTTTTTGCCTGCTTGTCGATTTAAGTTTGGTGCAGTAAGCACGATTTTGAACCAACAAGTTCCTGTGGCAACATAAAGACATGGTGGTCAAAACTCTAATCCATTCCAAATGGATGTTCTTGACGTGTGTGTTACATTAACCTGTTAATCCTCAGACTGTTTGTGGGAGGGGGCTGGTGGGTTTATAGACAATTAACCTGAATAGACCATACTGTTTCATGATTGGCTGAAACAGAGAAAAATGCCTCAAAACCCTCTTACTCAAATGAGTTTGTCATTGGATGCTTTTACCATAAAACACTCAGAATGAATGACTTTTATAGTGCTTAACATGGCTGTTTTTGCCATAAAAATCGATGAGTGATGAGTACAAGCAAAAAGATAATATTATTTTAATCTGACTTGTTGAACCACACACGCTCAGTCTATGAAGGTTTTGTTTCATTTTTAGTAAGCAATGGGTACATTTCAAATAACAAAAAATTAGGTTTAGGTTTTTGAAAACACAAGAACAGGCCATGGGTAAAGTGTGTAAGAGGGTCAGATCCAGCTGAGTTTGTTGTAGACCACCTCAGGTTAAGCTGACAATGTCCTGGGAAGACCAACAGGATTATAGCTATGAACACCTGTTCCGAATCTCCAAACCAGCAAGTGTGACCTGATGCTCTGACATTTAGAAACTTAACAAGGAATATGAAGAGCCTATAAATAAGCAAACTGTTCTACGCGTTCAAATGGTTGGTTTTACAAAACAGTTTTAATATTCCTAGATATTTTTATTTCATGTTTTGTTCAGTTCCTATTGTCTGTTTGACATAATTAGTAGCTTCTGTGCTTGTTAATTGTTTTATTATGTTCTATTGTCATTCAAATAGGCTAAAGAATTATTCTTAAGGTGTGAATACATAATAAGCTACATATCTTGTAGGCTATCATTTTTCCAACATAGATGCTTTAAATAGGATATGATACGTTTCAGAAAATTTAAACACGACAGGAATGGTCCACGTGATGGCGCAAAGAACCGCTTGAACAGCTTTTGAACCGGCTCTTTAAACTAACTGTTCAAATGAACCGTTTCGCCAAAATGAGACTAATGAGAGTGCGAAACTGCTGGAAGACCGACTGTC